CTACTCTGGCATGATCACCCACAACTTCCCTCCCCTGCCAGCCATCTTGTGATGACATGGGCACGGCCATCTTGTTACCACGTGGGAGTTGCCATCTTGTGCAAGGACATGATGGTCAATTTGCATATTACCTCTTTATTATATAGGATTGTTGAAAGGAAAAAGGCCTCTAGTAACTCAAGTTAAAGATTTATTGTTGGGAAGGACATTTTATACAAAAAAAAGAAAAAGCCAAAGAAATGAAAGGAAGAAAAGAATGGTGAAAGGTCAGTGTGCTCTTGAGTGGGCGAGTGTCTGGTTCCCTACAACAAGCTTCAATCCCTTTAAAGTTCATCAGAATTATTACTTAATCATGTTTAACAGAAATTAAATTTTTCCAAGAAGGAGGCTAAACATTATGTGATACAAGATGGTTCTGTCCAAAACCATATTTAGGACACTTCCTTTTTTCCATAGAACAATTTAGGCCATTGATGAATTCCTTTTCACCACTGTATCCCCAGTGACAGAAACAGAGTAGATCAAAACTATGGAGTCATCCTTGATTCCTCCCTTTCTCTTACATTCTTCAGCCATTCCATCAGCAAATGCTGTAACTCTGTCTTGATAACATATCCCAAACATGCCCACTTCTTCCCATCTACCTGCTATCACACAAATGCATGCCAGCACCATCTATCACCTGGATGGCTTCAATAAGTCTCATTAAAGAGCCATTGTATTTTCACTCTTGCACCCTTTCCACCAAGTTACCAATGTGATATTTTTAAAGTATAGATCAGAGCGTATAATTTTCATGCAGGGGCTTTTCACTGCAGTTAGAATAAGAGTCCAACTCCTCTCTTGCCCTAAAGGTTCCATGTGACCTAGAACTCTCCATCCTCATCTCCTCTCTCCTCTTGTTTCATCACCCTGCTCACTATGGCTACTTCCATGTCCTTTGGGAGCATCAACTCATTCCTGCCTTGCTGCCTTTCACCAGGTTAGTCCTTCTACATAGCAGTATCTTCCCCCAGACGTCCCCATAGCTGCTTCCATCTGATCATGCCTCAGGCCTACATAAGCCACCCTGAGGATCCTAGCTCATCAACTCTCCTCTTTACCTGTGACTCGGTCCCTCACACTGCTCTGGTTCCCTTTTGTTACCTCATACTATCTGATAGAATTTTTAAATTTGTATTGTTCATGTGAGTATTATCTGGCTTCCCCTACCCAAAATACATGCTTCATGAGGACAGGGCTTTGTCAGTCTTGTTAGTTCTGACTTCCCTAGAGCCTAGAATTGTTCCTGCATAAAATAGGTTCATCTTAGATGATTGTTGAAAGGATTACTGAAAGAATGTATATCTGATAGATGAATTTAGTTGGATCATGATGGGAGGAGATTGCACTTCCTTTTTACACAAACACATATATACCAGATTAAGGAGTGTGTGTGTGTGTGTGTGTGTGTGTGTGTGTGTGTGTGTGTGTGTGACAGAGGAGATAGAGAGAGAGAGAAGGAACAGAGACAGGAAAAATATTTTCAAAGACAAATGTGAAAGGAGAGAAGTATGGTGAGATAGAGAAAGAAAGGTAAGAAAAGAAAGCAAGTGAGAAAGTGTAAGCGATGTAGGGCAAGAGATAAGTGTGAAACTGTTATCATCAAAAAAAATTCTAATTATTGAGCACAACCATATGTGAGGCGTACTGGAAGTTTAAAGACCATGATTTGTTGAAATCTCATAACACTGTTATGAGGCATGTAATATTATCTCCATTTCACAGATGAGGAAACTAAGGCCAGTACGGGAATAGCACAGAGTTAATGACTAATAACCAGAAAGTGACCAAATTTGGACCTGAACCCAGGTCTGTTAATCCACAAAGACAAGCCCTGACCCTACTTATCTGTGATGCACAGCACTGTGGAGAGTCGGGAAATACATATTTTATAATGTAATCTGCCTATATTTACTCATATTTCAGGATGGGTTTAGTGATATTCTGACTAAAAGGCTTGAAAGAAAAAGCCTTTTTTTTTTGATCCACCAGAAAACAAATAAGATGCATTGTAACTATAGAATCAAACTTGATCAGTTCCAAACCAGGGGTGACAGATCACAAATGAAATCTGAGAATGGCTCTGACGTACACATGTCTGCTGAACACCTCTTTACATGCCACTGTACTCCTGAATGAGCTTGCCCCTGGAGTCAGTGATTGAATATCTAAGTATGATAATATCACTAAGTACAAAACAAATTTCCTATGTATGCAAATCACCTGGCATTTGCAAACCAATAGCTGGAAAAAATGGGAAATGAGATGTTAGCAATAGGCATTCAAAACTCTCTGCACAGAAGATAATTCTGGGAGATTTTGAGCTGGAATTCTCTGGCAATCTCCTTAGTGAAATGTATATTTTCACATAGGAGAAATGTGTTATTATATTGCAGGATTCACCTTCCACCTCACTCCTGCCAAAGCCAGCACATGAACCTAGGGAAAGTTCCTCAATCATAACAGAAAAAAAAAAAACCCTCAAATAAAGTCTACATGCTTTAAGTCAGGGGGTCAACAAACTTTTCCTGTAAAGGGCTAGATAGTAAATATTTTAGACTTTGTGGACTATATGATCAGTCACTACTACTCATTTCTGCCATTGCAGCATGAAAGCAGCCACAGACAATACATTAATGAATAGTTGCCACTATGTCCCAATGCTACTTTATTTATGAATGCTGAAATTTGAATTTTATAAAATTTTCTCATGTCCTAAAATAATATTTCTATTTAAAAATTATTGGATAGCCACAGGGAAATGAGAAAAAATTGAAAGAGAGTAAAAACAATCAAGCAAACAAACAAAAATTCCTAACTCACATATCTTACAAACACTGGCAGCAAGCTAGATTAGGCCTAAGTTTGGTAACCCCTACATTATGTCTTGAAATTGTCAATGAAATTAAGGGAAAAATAGATGAAGTCAGTGAGAACTTCAACAAAGAGGCAATAAATTTTAAAAATACATGGGAACCATGAAAAAAAACTAGTCAGAATGAAGAATGAAATAACAAATGAAAAATACACTAAGAGAAATCAATAGCAAACCAGATAAAGCAGAGGACTGAATCTGCAATTTAAAAAACAAAGTAGTGGAAAACACCAACTAGGAACAACAAAAAGAAAAAAATAGTTTTAAAAAAATGAGAATAGTCTAAGGAATATTTGGGACAACATCCAGGGTAACAACATTTGCAGCATAGGAGTACCAGAAGGATAAAAGAGAGAAATAATAACTGAAAACTTTTCTAACTTGGTGAAAGAAATAAATATATAAGTCCAGGAAGTGCAGAGAGTCCCAGAAAAGATAGACAAAAAGAGGTCAACACTATGACACATCATAATTAAAATGCTAAAGTATAAAGACAAAGAGAGAATCTTAAAATTAGCAAGAGAAAAGCATTTAGTTACTTACAAGGGAGCTCCCATAAGACTGTTAGCTGATTTCTCAACAGAAACTTTCCAGGCCAGAATGCACTGGTACAAAATATTCAAAGCAATGAATATTCAGAGTGACCTACAACCAAGATTACTCTACCTAGAATGGCTATCATTTAGAATTGAGGAAGACATAAAGAGCTTCTCAGAAAAGAAAAAGCTAAAGGAATTTATCACCACTCAACCAGTATTAGAAGAAATGTAAAGGGAATTCTTT